ACTTTTTTTTTTCTCTTTTGCATTAATTTTCAAGTTATTCTTAGGTATTCTTAATGCTTAGAAGCTAAAAAAAAAAAAAAAGGTCAGTTAGCTTTTTATAGATTTTGGAACTCTCATATACTGCTTATGTTAAACATTTTATATAAAAACAAAAATCCTGGGCTAGGGTTGTGGCTCAGTGGTACAGGGCTCACCTGGCACCCGTAGGCATGAGTTTGATCCTCAACACCACATACAAAAAAAGAAAAAAAGAAATAAAGATATTGTGTGTCCACCTACAACTAAAAAATAAATAGTTGGATAAAACAGCAACAAAGATCCTTCCCCTCCCCCACACTTCACGTATTACTATTATTAGATTCTAGGAATTGAACCCAGGGGCACTCTACCACTGAGCTACACCCTCAACCCCTTTTATTTTAAAATTTGAAACAGGTTCTTGCTAAATTGTTGAGGGTTTTGCTAAGTTATTGAGATTGTCCTCGAATTTGTGATCTTCCTGCTTCAGCCTCCTGAATTGCTGCGATTAATTGACTCCAAGTGTTCTCTATATACGAAGTCACGTCGAGGAAACTGTATCCTTCCACTACGATCTCCTCTTTGCCAAATTTCCCTTTATATTAGGTGGTATTGGAGTGACTGGACATTTTAAATATCTGCTAAAGGAAAGTTGGGTTGGGAATACATTTAATTTCAAGATTAGTGAGATATATTTACATGGACCGTATTGTTGCTGGCTGTCTTTGTTTAGCAGTAGATTGCAGGAACACTCCTATGATCCACACTGTACTGACTCACCTAGCATCTCATCACTGAGGTGTAGGTTTAGAGGTTATGATGTAATGTGAACACATGGCTGGCACTGGAAGTATGTGAGTAGTGTGGAAAAAAGAAGGATTGCAATGTACAGAGCCAGAAGCTAGTCTAGGGGAAAAGCCTTCCAAATCAACTGATATGTACATTGTAAGCAGAGAATTTGGTTCTTATTTATGTCAAGCCCAAACAGATATAATTCAGTGTATTAATTTTAAATGCACCATAACTTTTTTTTTTTTTGGTACTGGGAATTGAACTCAGGGGCATTTAACCACTGAGCCACATCCCAGCCCTATTTTGTATTTTATTTAGAAACAGGGTCTCACTGAGTTACTTAGTGCCTTGCCATTGCTGAGGCTGGCTTTGAACTTGGAATCCTTCTGCCTCAGCCTCCCTAGCCGCTGGGATTACAGGACTGTGCCACTGTGCCCAGCACACTATACATTTTTTAAAAATATTTTTAGTTGTAGACGGATACAATAACTTTATTTTTTTATATTTTTTATGTGGTGCTGAGGATCAAACCTAGTGCCTCACATGTGCTAGTAAGTACTCTACCACTAAGCTACAACCTCAGCCTGGCATCATACATTTTAATTCTTCTCTTATTAAACGGAACTCACATGAAATAGAATTAATCAGAATGCCTTTGACAATGTTAAAAATAGACTGCTCTACATGTGTGAAGTCGTGTTTTATGTATCTCAACATCAATAATAAAAACCAAATTTGATCTACCATGGTAAAGGAAAAACAGTCTTCCTACAGTTTCAATTAAAAACTTATTTTTTAAAAACAAATATCATTAATCCCAGCTTCCTAGAAGATTGATGCAGAAGAATCAAAAGTTTGAGGTCAACTGGGAAATTTAGCAAGACCCTTTCTCAAAATTAAAAATAAAGGCTGGGCGCAGTGGTGCACGCCTGTAATCCAAGTGGCTTGGTGAGGCTGAGACAGGAGAATCTTGAGTTCAAAGTCAACATCAGCAACTCAGTGAGGCCCTAAGCAACTCAGCGAGATCCTGTCTCTAAATAAAATACAAAAGAAGAGCTGAGGATGTGGCTCAGTGGTTAAGTGCCCCTGGGTTCAATCCTCCATACCAAAAAATAAAATAAAATAAAAATAAAAATAAAAGGGACATTTGCTCAGTGGTAGAGCACCCCTGAGTTTAATCCCCAATACTTCCAAAATATCCACCAGTGTCATATTTATAGCATTGATCTCATATATTTGCTGTGATGTTGAAAAGGAGTAAAGCATATGAAGTGTCTGAGATCCCAATAAGTTTAACCAATTTAAGAAAAACATTGTCATATGAAGAGACGAACAGTATACAGAAAAAAAAACTTAGGGAAAAAATATTGGAGGTGTGTTGGGAAGCTAATTAAATGATATATAATATAAATATATATTCATACATATGTACATATATGTACATGCTAGTCACATGTTCAATTACTGAGTTATGTGCTAGTCACAGGTTCAATTACTGAGTTACACTCTTAAATTTATTTTTTTCTTTTTAATTTTTTTTAGTCGTAGGTAGACACGATAGCTTTATTTATTTATTTTTATGTGGTGTTGAGGATCAAAGCCAGTGCCTCACATGTGCTAGGCATGTGCTCTACCACTGAGCTGCAACCTCAGGTCCCCTTATATTTCTTGATTTTGTAATATTTATTGCACTTAGAAGCTTCTTCTTCTTCTTTTTTTTTTTTAAAGAGAGAGTGAGAGAGAGAGGGGGACAGAGAGAGAAAATTTTAATATTTATTTATTTTTTCTTAGTTCTCGGCGGACACAACATCTTCGTTTGTATGTGGTGCTGAGGATCGAACCGGGGCCGCATGCATGCTAGGCGAGCGCGCTACCGCTTGAGCCATATCCCCAGCCCTAGAAGCTTCTTAAAATGTGTAATATGATGTGATTTATTTTCTCAGTTTAAATAAATACTTCATTTAACCTAATTTTGCATTTGTAATTTTTGCGTTTATTTTCTTCCCCCATCCCTACAAATAATAAAAGCTTCAAGCCCCACAAAATATGGATCTTTCTTTGAATTAAAAATAGACATATTTATCTATGTATAGCAATATACCAATGCAAAGTTCTTGCTCTTTTAATAGACTTAACATGGAAAGTGTCATATTCAGACAAAGAAGAACAGCTGTTAGAATTGAGACTTCAAAGATTAAGGGGTTAGGTTTAATAGAAACTTGCAGATATGAAAATGCCCATTGCAGGGAACCTTTTGGTAAATCATTTAATTTTGAAGGAGGAAACTTTAGAAACCCCTCAGTCTCTAGTTTGAATTAATCTTGGCTGCCTTACCACCAGTCTATACATAGTACGGTATTCAGAAGAAACCCAGGTCTGATAAGAAATGCAGTCATTTGATTTTTTCTTCCATATTTTTATAGCATTGATCTCATATATTTTCTGTGATGTTGAAAAGGGGTAAAGCATATGAAGTGCCTGAGGTCCCAATAAGTTTATAGTTGTACATGATGGTGGAATTTCTAGTTACATATTTGTGCATGTGTACAACATAACAGTACAATTTGAGTCATTTGGATCTTTAGGGAAGATTTTTTTTTTTTTAAACTACTGAGCTGTATCACCAGCCCTTTTTACTTTTTTGAGACAGCATCCTGCTAAATTGCTGAGGCTGGCATCCAATTTTTGGTTCTCCCGCTTCAGGCTCCTCAGTCCTGGATTACAGGTATGCGCCACTATGTGTGGTTTTGGGGGAATTTCTGAAGAGGAACAAAAGGGGAGAAGTATACTGCAAAAATGTTTAACAATTCTTTCATCTTTTTAATTCTTTTAAGTCCCTCTCATCTTGATATTTGCTGCCTGACATTTCTCATCTCCCCACTTCAGCCTGTCTTCTCCTGCAGCTTTCTCTAAAATGACTCTCTTAGTTGGGTGTGGTTGCACATGCCTATAATCCCAGCGGCTCAGGAGGCTAAGGCAGGAGATTGCAGGTTCAAGACCAGCCTCAGCAATTTAGCAAGGCCCTAACCAATTTAGCAAGACCCTAATCTCAAAAATTGGGGTGGTGGCTGGTGGTGTGGCTCAGTGGTAAAGTGTCCCTGGGTTCAACCCCTGTAGCATAAAAACAAATAAACAACATAAAATTACTTTCTTATTCTAACTCAGCTCTTTATTATTATATAACCTATTTAGTTCCTGAGCATCTTAAAGTTCTCCACTTTATTACTCTAATTTGCGCACCAAGTCACAAAAGGGAAGGTCTCTGGAAGGAAGGGCAATAGAGTGAAGGGCATAAGGAGGAAGATGATTGCATGGCATGCTTATGTGTTTGGGGTACAAGTTCACCCCCGAATTTGCAAATGAATAAAGTGAGGCCTAAATAAATTAGGTGATTTGACACTTGCCTAGTGAGTCAGATGGAATTGAGCTTAGAACTCAGGCTTACTTCATTTGAAATAAGCCTTATTGATCATAAACAATCAATCTTATGATCTACCATATAAGATTCGCTTTGCACCCTTGGTAGAAAGAACACCAGGGGGAGTAAGGAAGCCTGGGTTCTAAGCTTTACTTCTACCAGGCTCCACGACCTCGGGCAGTCGCATTCTTTCTAAGGCTCGGTGTCCTTCCTCATAAGAAGAGGTTGGGCAAGATGAAACTTGGGTCTCATCCAGCACTGACATTCTTTGCTTCTGATCTGTGCAGGGACCTGCAGCTGTGGTAGTAGTGGCCTGGGGCTGGTCAGGACGCCTCGCCCCCATTTATCCCTCACTGGACTAGGAAAGAGGGGAACCAAGGAAGGAGGGATTCTTCCTCTCACTTTGCTACCTTTTTAGAGTCCTTGTAGGACACACCCCCCTGTCAGAAGGACACCAGACGTGAGCTCCCCGGGCTCCCCAACAACTGTGAGGGCGAGAGTCTCTCGATGCACCTGAGTTTCCTAGGCCGGAGGCTAACCTTTACCACCCCAATCTCTCAAGGATCCAGCTTCAAGACGTAGGTCCCAGTCCCTTAGCAGGCCCAACACGCAAGCGCAACCGCCGAGGGCGAGCCTGAGGGACTTGGAGGCCGGGCAAGGTGAGGGGCGGGGCTGGCAAGACCTCGCCTCCTTACCGTCACGTGGGAGGCGGAGTCGGAAGCGTGACGGCGTGCGCGGGGGCGGAGCTACCGCTGCGCGCGGGCGCGGGGGCGGGGCTCGGCGCTCTAGGCTGCTGCCTGGGAGGGAGGCCGGGCAGGCGGCGGAGCGGCGCGGCTCTCAACCTGACTGGAGAAGTGGCCCGGGTGGCCGTGACTGACTGGCCCAGGGCGGACGGACGGACGGACGACGGAAGCGGGGGCCGGGAGCCGCGCCGGTCGATTTGGAGAGCGAGTGGGTCAGGCTCAGCGGCGGCCAGTCTGTTGGTTCGCTGAATGAAGTGCCCGCCCCGCTGAGCCCGGAGCCCGGCGCTTTCCCCGCAAGATGGACGGTTTCGCCGGCAGCCTGGGTGAGTACGGCTGGGAAGTCTTGCCTCTTCTGCGAAGGGTGGGAGCCTTGTTCCTTCCACGCACAGCCCAGGCCCTGCTCTCCGCCCTGCCCCTCGGGGAGGCAGCAGTTCCACTGCACATGTTCCCCTCGAGGCTGCCGCCCCTCCTCGGACTCTGGCGGACGGAGAGCCCCTCCCCCATGCCCAGCCCTCCGGCGAGCCAGACCCTCCTTTCTTCCCAGAGCCCCCTTCAATGCAGGGCCCTTCTCCAAAAGTGGGAACCCTTTCCCTTCACAGAGGCCCCAATAGCTGGTACACCCATCATGCTTTCACGGCTCCCCCCAACAACCGTGGGACACCCCTTCTGAAAATCCAGACCCCTCTTCAGGGTGCAACATTCCACCTTTCCACATACCGCGCTCTCTTTCAGGATGGAGACTGCCCTTCCCCACACAGAGACTCCCTTTTATGGTAGAGACCCCCCCCCCCAATTCCGCTTCTGGAAGTGGGTACCCCCCCAGTCTTCATTTCAAATTTGGAGGCTTCTTTTAAGTGTCCCTTAGTAAGTGACAACTTCCTTTCACTGCCTCCACTTCTCTGCACATTTTGCAGTCAGTGGTAGAGAGACCTCGAGCACTGAAGCATCATTGCTTAATACAAGAAAGGAAGAGGTGCATTTGTGTTGGGGGACCCTCTTTAAGAGTGAAAGCAGAAGTGTTTCTTGGCTGTATATGCATGCTGGGGAGAAGTAATCCTGCCCAATGAATCCATAGGAAAGGGGGCCTCTGTCGGGAAAGAAAGGATTCTCCATTTTTGGAATATGTTGTCTTTGTGGAATGGAGAAAGGGAAGGAGTTATTAAGTAGGTTGCAGTATCTTTTCAGTGTTCCCTTTCACCGGATTAAAGGTAGTAATGTTGTAACTGGCTAGGGGAATCAGAATTCCAGGCTGATACTCAGTGCCCCATACCTGTGTCTGGAATTACTATTCTTTGAGGCTATTGGAATCTGGTTACTGTAAAGATTGAGTTCAACTGTTAATGGTGGTGAGAGAAACAGTTTCTACTTTGGCTGATATTGCAGTTATGTGATACCTGCTGCTGGATTTGTATTTTGAGTATTATACGTAGAGGTAGCATGTTCTCAGATGACTTTCTTTTGCATTTCTTGATAATAAATCCTTAGTTGGTTAATGTTCATAGATCAGTGAACAGTCTGGCAATAGGCCATACTTTAATCTGTCCACACAGGTTGGGATTAGATGGATTTTAAGAATCTAAAGTAAATAAGTAAAAGAGCAATGTAGTTATTACATAGTAAGACCCATAATTTTTGCCCTATCATAGGAAGGAAAAAAAAACATTGTTATAAGGTTGTTTTGAGAGTGGGAGTCCTAAAATAGGAGGCAACTGAGTGCTAGTTTTTTCTTCCTAAAAGCACCTGTCGTTCCTTCTAACCTTTGATGTCTTACCATTCCTTACCTATGAAGTTGTTCCATTCTTGGGCTCCTGTTAGAGAGATATCAACTTTTCACTGGTTCTTTTTCAGCCTGTGGCTGAGTTTATTAATTAGTTAATATTGAACTGAAAGACTTGTTTGTCCTATAGGTCCACTAAGGATGTGATCATAATACTAGGGCTAATATTGGTTATCTTTTGGAGGCTGTTTTGGGCCTGTGGTAATCTCTGTATGGTTTGGCTCCTCAGTTTGTACTCATTATGAGATCTCTACTTATTTGTACTTCACCTCTGTTAATTTTGAAGAATTCTGGAGAGTTTCTTCAGTGAGCGTTTTGAAAGTCTTTCTTACCAATTAGAGCACTTAGATATATTTTGAAATAGTGTATATGCCTTATTAAGTTAGTTTATCCCTTCTTAACTAATCCAGGAGGGACTGAGAGGTGAAAATAAATTGCAGTTGAGAAAATAAATCCCATTGTTATAGAGTATTATAGCCCATACTAATGTTGGATGATGATGATGATGATGATGTAGAATAATTCATTCGATGCTATCTTTCGGGTAGTATGTGATGAGACTTCCTTTCTTTAGATATGGTGTTGGTCAGGAACAGGGGAGATAATGCCTGTTTCTAAAGAGAGGAACCTATGTCAGCAGAGAGGGAAGGAAATGGTTCCTGGCAGTATTTCTAGAGCTGCTCCTGATGAAGATACTTCTCAGCAGGAGCTCTGCTTTCTTTTTGTCCCCCTTGTAAGAGTAAAACTAGGCCCCATCTTAATTGAAACCTTAAAGGGTTGGGAGTGGGGGAGGGGTGGTGCTGGTATATTTTACTGGTAGCCTTTAAACAGAGCTCTTTGCTCAACTCTTGCCAAATTGCTTGTTTCTGTTCCCTGCAGTTCATTAGCCTGGAGCTTAGAGTTACATTGATCTTTATTTTATCATCAAGAGAGCCATTAATATAAAGGCAAGCACTTGTGCTTTAAGAGATGTTTAAAACTTTTTTTTTTTTTTTAAACTAAACAAGAACTCAAAATGTGAAGTTCTTCTGGGGTAGCAAGTATGGAAAGCATTTATTATACTTTCAATTTATTAACGTGTGTGTCCCTTTTACATACTACTAGAGGGTTCTTGAAAAATTGTGAGAAAACTACATTTTTATAAGCAGAACAGTTGAGTGCTTTATAAACAGAATGATTCAGGAAAGCTGATTATTTAAGTGACTCCTATGCTGATCATCTTGTAAAGCAGAGAAACTTAAAATTCAAACGGTGTGCTTGTTTGATGAGTGAAAAAGGCAAACAGTGTATGATATGTGTATCTGATGGTGATTAAAACTATGTAGTGAGTTTTGAAAACAAAAATATTTGGTGATTGGCCATTTTATAAATGTTACATTGAAGTTAAATACTGTATAAAAAGAGTCTTCTTGTTAAGTTGCTTAGAACCTCCCTAAGTTACTAAGGCTGACTTTGAACTCTTCATCCTCTTACCTCAGCCTCCTAAACTGCTGGGAGTAAAGGTGTGCACCCTGCTGCAAAGGATGCTTTTAATCTGAGCAGCTGATGACTTTCAGGCAGTGTGGCTAACAGGTGTTTATACTCTGTAATTTTCCTTAGATACACTATCTTTTGGTACATGAGTTAGGGTAATTAAAAAAGGAAGTACTTTGGAAACAACAATTACTACTAGTACTGCAGCTACTACTAGTACTGTTTGCAGTACTGGGGATTGAACACCGGGCACTCTGCCACTGGGATGCTCCCTATGCCTTCTTATTTTTTTATTTTGAGACGGTGTCTAACTATTTTGAGACAGGCCTCAAACTTGCGATCCTCCTGCCTCAGCCTCCCAAGTCACTGGGATTACAAGTGTGCACTACCATACCCATCTTAGAAACAATTATTTTAAAATTTACCCAAAATTATTTTGATGCGTTGTTTACAAATGACAGCACACACACACACACACACACACACACACACACGTCTACATAGTATACATTTTAAATTCCAGGTCTATGTGCAAAGTGGGAAACTATCAATACAGCTTTTCTTATTGATTTTTCAAAAGGCAGAAGTTGGGTTTATTTCATACTTGGTCTTTTTAGCATCTCATTCATAATAAAGGTTTTAATTAAGACCTGGAATTAGCTTGGAAATTAGTCAGTGTTTGCACTTAGAGAAAGTATAAATTTAACTATGTCAGCTTTAATTTTTTTCTGCCTTCAAAAGTTAAAAACAAAACAAAATTAAAACCTTTTTTTTTTCCCGAAGAAAAATTGTAATAAACAAAACCATAGGATTCGTATCGATAAGAAACAACATTTTGGGTGCAGAGTATAAAAATGAACAAATAACAGCATTGTGTTTCAATTTAGGAACTGTTTTAAGAAAGTGGTTTTTAAAATATTGCAATATTAGAATTATAATTTGTCATTACTAATCTAGCCTTCTTAAAGGAACAATGTAGTATGTGATTTTTAATTTTTAAATTATTTTAAAAAATATTTTGAGGATTGAACCCAGGGGTGCTTTACCACTGAGCCACATGCCCGGCCCTTTTATTTTTTATTTTGAGACAGAGTCTTATTAAGTTGCTCAGGGCCTTGCTAAGTTGTTGAGCCTACTCTCAAACTTTCGATCCTCCTGCCTCAGCATCCTGAGTCACTGAGATTATAGGCTTGTGCCATATGCCAAGCATAATTTTAGAATTCTTAACTTTTATTTCCCCACCCTCTTTTTCCCCCTTTTTGGAAACGGGGTCTCATTGTTTTGCCCAGGCTGGTCATCCCGTGCTTCAGCCTCTCTAATAGCTGGGACTACTGACAGGTACTATTGGGATGGCTGATTTTTTAAAATATTAATCTAGTCTAAAGCATTCTTTAAGTATTCATATGAAACATTTCTCTTATAATAAGATTGTTTGGGCTGGGCACAGTGGCACATTCCTGTAATCCCAGTGGCTCCTGAGGCTGAGGCAGGAAGATCACGAATTCAAAGCCAGCTGCAGCAAGAGTGAGGCACTAAGCAACTCAGTGAGACCCTGTCTCTAAATAAAATACAAAATAGGGCTAGGGATGTGGCTCAGTGGTTGAGGGCCCTGAGTTCTGCCCCTAGTATCTCCCCTCCACCCCACCCGCTCGCAAAAATAAATAAATAAATAAATAAACAACTTTCGATAGGTTATTGGTTGCCTTAAAGAGCTCATTGTAGCATTAAGTTACATAACATGGCATGAATAGTAATTCTGAAGTGTTAGTACAACATCTGTAATATGAGTTAGCTAGAATGTTTTTCAACATGTATGTGGATTAACACTCTATCTGGAGCTGTGCAAGGCGGTGCATGCCTCTAATCCCAGGGGGCTGAAAGGTGAGGATTGAGAATTTGAGGCCAACCTGGGCAACATAGTTCGACCCCATCTCAAAACAACAACCAACAACCAAAAAATACTGTATATGGACCATCACTGAACTTGGTTGTCCCTCATGAAAGAATAAGTAAAATACATGCTTCCTGTCCTTAAGGAACTTACTGCCTGGTTTTGAGCAGGTATTAGGGTTT